AAGTGACAGCCACAGGTCCCCTCGCCACGGCCGTTAACATCGCTCGTCATTCGCCGCCGGTATGGAGGCAAGATGGCATATGTCGCCTGGCTGAAATGATTATCACAAGTACAATTATCTGAATAGGCTGGTAGGGGAGTCACTCTAATGCATTGATCTTCAGGGTTCTTAACGACATTCCTCTTGCATGAGTTTTCCTCGAACACATAGGGATAACTGGACTCTTTCACAATGCCTTCCGCTTTCGAGTATGCGTAAGAGTCTCGAGATAGCCCTCCAAGGCAACCTCTACAACAAACAGACATCAGAGAGACAACGGAAATACCATATAATTGCAATTTCTCTCATATATCGAAGAGCTCTCTGATGAGGAATACAATGAAAGTTAGAGAACGGATATACTGCTGACGCCTTTAGCTGTAGACCCGTCAACTCAACGGATTTTCGCAAAATGAGAGCGAGAAGTAATCTTGATGGAGGCTTCGATGTTAGCGAATATAAGCGCAGTAGATCTAGGCGCAGTAGGGTCAAATCATGGAACTTACATATTGCCGTACGGCCTACTACAGTCAACCAACTGCTGAACGGAGAAAGGGACGACTCTAGGCTGTGCGAGTTCGATCTTGAAACGACTCTCCATAACGACTGAGGGAGATGAGAGAGGCGTGACGAACAGGCGAGTCCTCTAAGAGGACGCTTGCTAGGGCTCGCTCGGTAACTATATCATGAAGGAAACAGACTATTCGTATTGCTACCTGCGGCAGTGATCGCGTAACAGCTTCCACACCTCTTTCCTTTAATTGACTGACGTCTTACGGGCGCCAGAGCGCCGGAAGCTTCCCAGTCTACTGATGGAGGATAATCTCCTACGTCCAAGGGATCCTGAGGGACTAAAAAGGAATAGTCGTCTGAAACGACTCGTGTCCGTAATATCAACCAGTTAGTCTCACCGGTGGGAATGGCTCGGATGTTCGGTGTTTGTTGTTGTCGAGTGAATGCGCACTTTACGATGCTGTTGAAGACTTCTCGCGGTAGATCAGCAAATTCACTGAGACCGACTTCATGCGTCACATTGCCTGCATAACATATAGTATCGAGTTAGCAGAGGCTAACTCAGATTTAGCAGATGATGCTGGCACATTGCTCACTGTTGGCTCTCATGGCTTCTATCTCCTTTATAGTATTCTCGAAAGCGTCCTTTGCAACTTGATACTGCTCATCCGTGTCGTATTTCTTATGGTAACTGAGACAAGTTCTGGTTGGTTGGACTTTAGATGACGAGCGAACTCACGTTCTCACGAACTCCTGGAAGGCCTCCTCCATCTCAACGTATGCACCGTGGCCCACAGCAATGAGTTGCAGGGTAACAACAATCAAGAACATAGTAGAGTTGACGTGTATGGATATCATCGAGACTTCCCTCCACCTTGTACGCTAACTTCTAGCTAAGCCGACACCGCGGACTTCTAGCTAAGCCGCGCTATCGGAGTCACGCCCAACGTTGGTGTGCGCTGGTGACAGGAGATCAGAGTATTCGATAAGCGGGTTTTGCCTAAGATTAGGAAGCTTTCCCCAAGTCCAGGCCAGTTTCCAAAGACGTAAAAATACGTTACGTACTCCGGAATCTGAAGTGTTAGATTTTTCTAGTTCGAAGAGACCTACAGTTCGTGCGGTCTGCCCACGCGTGCGGACTTCGTGAATTATCAACGCTGCGCGCGTGCGCAGAGCGTGCAAGCGCAGAGTATCACAATGGGACTCGGATAATCGGAAACGTTTCCCGATTATCTATTGTTGTGGGAGACGTAGAGAACTAAGGATACAAGGCCAGCCCGCAATTGACGAACAGGACAGATCGGTATGGACCGATATATGGGAAAAGGGGAAGCTTAAACCTATAGCTAACTCGTAATGGTCGATCAACATAATACGTACGCATATACATTGGCACGCTCCAACATCTCTAACATCTATATTTTTCATTTCGTGTTCACAATAAGTATTAGAGTAGCGGAATATACCCCAGTTCTTTTATTCCACACGTAACTCACGAAATTCCTAATTAGTTTTGCGCATTCAAAGAAAAGTTTATAAATACTGTGCAGGAGACCGCACGAAGTGATGCTGTGAGCTGTCTCTTAGTTCGTCTCTTTTTACTCGTATACATCTTGGCTCAAGCTCAAAAAA